GGAAACAATTAAAACATTATTATACTGTGTTACACGTACATGTAACCACGTTCCTCTGGTGGGTTAGGGTTGTGATGATGCATTAAACCTTTAGAGCCCATGTCAGTGGTCCCAGGAGAGCATCTTTCCCCATGCCTAGAAAAAGTAGATTATTTGAAAAATACTGGAAGCAGTTGGTGAAAGGGCAGGAGACAACCTTGGAGAAGAGTCTGAGATGGGGTCTGCATCCTACACATGGCCACGGGTGCTGCCATGAAGACACTGGAGATCAGGAGGTAAAAACCCCACTGACCTTGGCTTTTAATTGCACCCAAACTTTTCCATTTAATCCTTGACTGAGTGTGGTGTCTTCTTGCGAAGCGCTTTGATTCCAGCGGAGCATCATGTTCAGTGGAGCAGCTCCTGAGATGCTCTGTGAGCTGCTCCTCTCCCCAAAACTCTGGGAGCACTGGTAATACTGAGGGATCAATAACCTGCCTTGTGACACTCACAAATCAAAGAGAGATGTGAAAACCATGTGTGTTTTTATAAACACATTTTAGTCCATACCTAGCATGGGAAGCTCTAATAGAAGCTGCTGTTGCCTTGCCAGTTGCCTTCTTGCAGCTGTCGGAGTGCAGGTGTTGTGTGAGGAGAACAGGGATGGCTGTGGCTCCAGGGACAGAACCTTTAAGCCAGGCACTGAAGACTGGGAGGCTCAGGGAAGCTGGCACCTTTGCAGACCTTAAACCTCAACACTCTGTTTAAAAGGCTGTGAAACCCAAGCCTGGGTCTGTCCAGCTCTCCCACCACCCAACAGCTGCATGAAGGTCGGGTCTGGTGTGGGGAGAAGCTGCTCCACTGGGGTTCTCAAGACTCTAAAACACCTCAGTAAAGCTGAGGACTTGTTCCCAAGAGTTGTAGTTGTGCTTATCCAAGCCTGGGACTGTGCTTTGGAGAATACCTCCTGGGCACTGGTGCTGGTGAGATCCTAGATGTGGTATCTCCCCAGAACAGCCCCCCATACCCAGGCTGTGTGTCTGGGAAGGGTATTACTCTCCTGGCTGTGCTGCGAGTCCTATGAGGGCTGGAGCGAGTGCTGCTGCTTCCCATCTCCACTGCAATGTATTTTTACCCAAACATTGCTCATATTGTTCAGTTGATGACTATTTTCTTTTTGTTGTAGTTGCAATTTTTAAACCAAACAGCATATTCCCTCCCCTCCCCCCCACCCCGCAATTTGTGCCAGCAGAAAGGAAGGAGGAGAGAACGGCTCTGGGTAGGAATTGTTTTGTGGGAGACGTGCAAGCGAAGAGGGGAGCCATAAGGAGAGCAAATCGCTTTCCAAATAGCATATGGGGGTGGACAGGAGGGAGGTGTACGTCAGGAACATGTACTGTGCTTCACAAAGGTACGGTGACCTTCAGCTGCGTCCTCAAAGCGCTGCCAGAAAGGGAGGCTGATTTTGCGGAGGCTGAAAAGCCTCGTGATTCCTCTGCTTCAGCCCTTTCCTGGGGTGGTCGTGCTGCTGAAGGCTTTTGCTGTAGAACAAGGGGGAGATTGAGATCGGAGCATTGTGCCAAACCTCGGGGTGGATCTCACCACCTCTGCCAGGCTTGGAGGATCTCTCAGCGTGGTGACGAAGATGTGAGCTCAGTGGCCCTGATGGATTTATCTCCTGAAAACCGTGGATGGGAGAGAAGGCGGTTTGGCAAGCTCTGCTGGAGGAGAGGGATGGTCCTGTCGCCTCCGAGATGTGTCGTGCTCGGCCGGCGTTGGGAGGAGCTGGTGCCCGGGCACTGGTGATGTGGTTGTGCCAGGGAGGAGGGTAGTGTGGGGGTGCCAGGAGCTGCTGCCTGAGCCCGTGTGGGACACAGGCAGTCCAGGGATGTGTAGAATAGAATATTTCAGTTGGAAGTGATCTACAAGGACTATCCAGTCCAAACTGCCTGACCACTTCAGGGCTGACCTAAAGCTAAAGCAAATTATTAAGGGCCCTGTCTACCCTGTGGTAGAGCTTCACATCCTTTTCTGAGCAACTGAAAACTTTAGAGGGCTGTTGTGGGGAGGCCCAGGTGGCAGTTTGTAGTGGACTGTCTCATGGATATGATGGACACCCTCATAGTCAGCATGGTCCCACCAACCCCAGCAAGTGCTGTGTCTCATTCTGTTAAGGTGCAGTGGTTCTCTTCTCCCTGCCTTTTGGCACTGCTGGCAGTGCATGAAGGGCTCTCCCTTCGTCTTTCACCCCTGCTGCTCACACAGCTGAAGCTCAGCTACCTGTCATTTGTCACTGCGAGTTTTCTCCGTGCTGCTCACCCATGTCAAACTCTGCTTGCTGAGGTCATGTCAAGGAGGGTCTTTTCCCACTTCTTTCTTTCTCCCCCTTCCCTTATTCTTTTCTTTCCTTTCCCTTCTTTCCTTTTCCTCCTCCCTTCCCCTGTTTTACTTTTCTCTCCTCTCCTTCCCTCTCCCGTTTCCCTTCTCCAAACTCCTGAGCTCAGGGGGCATGGAGCAGCCAAGGACGTGCTGGCACACATGAGCTGTGCAGAGCAGTGAGACACACCGACTCTTTGCTCCCATTCCTGCAGTATTTGTAGCATCATCCCAAATAGCTGGCAGCTGAAGCACTCCCTCCTCTCCCTGCGAAACTTTCCCCCTGCTTTTGGCATTTGTTCCACTGACAGGCACGAGAGCAGATGTCCTGGGATGGATGTGCCAGCCTGGTGGCCAGATGGGTACGATCACCACAGGGTCCCTGCTCCTGTCAGCTGAGCAGGGGCCCATAAGGGTGCTGTGACCTCGCTGTGCTTTGCTGCTTGCCGAAGGCATGGCCCTCTCCTCCTCCTCCCTCCTGTGCTCCCCTCCTGGACTCCTTTCAGTAAATAAGCCTCAGCCGTGTGGTTCCCGAGCTCCCTGCTCCACTTCCACACAGCCCCGAGGTTTGGGTAACTCCCCATCTGTTCACGGGGAGGCCCTGCCACGTGTGCTCCTGGGTGAAGGAGCTGTGGGGATGGGCTTCCCCCCATGAACACCATGGTGGGAGACTGAGCTGCCCTGGTGCTGCCACAGCAATCATTCCCTGGCACCTCGGGTTGGATTTGTGCCGTTGGGGTGGGACTAGATGCTCTCTGGAGTCCTTTCCCTGCTCTTGATATATTTTTTCCCTTGTGATGGTGCCTGCTGGGGCATCTGACAGCACAGGATTCGGCTGCGCTTGCCATAAACGTCGGGGGCTTTGGGGAGCTTTGTCTTTTATCTGTGGTTCCTGGGGGAGCCTGGTACTGGAAAATTGGAATATGTAACGTAGATGGTCCCTTAGGCACCACTCTCTCCAGAGCTCTCTCAAAATGGTTTCCACTGTTGGTGCTTACGCAGGCAGTGGGTTTGATCCTCATCTCTGTTGCCTGGTGTGGCAGCTCTGGCTGGCTGGATGCTCTCTCTCTGTCTCCCAGTACAGCAGCTCTGGCTGGATGGATGCTCTCCCGAGCCCTCTGGATGAAGCTGCGCCCACAAGCACAGCAGCTGATCGTCTCTCTGGTGCTCCCCCTCCCAGCAGCCCCAGCAGATTTGGAACTTTCTCTGCAGCCTTCAGGGGTAGAAAAGCACCCTGGGGAGTTCAGCTCTGGGTAGGCTGAGGACATTGCCTTTGGAATATGGGGAGAAGGAAGGCAGAGCTGCTGGTGTGGCACCACCTGTGGCACAGGGTGCTCTGCTCCATGTGGTGTGGGTGCCTGTTGGAGACCGCTGCAGACTCCATGTTTAGGTCAAATCCTTGTTTAGAATTCCAAATGCCTCATTTTGCCTGACCAGCTTCTCAGTGCTCACAGAGTGGACCTGCACCATGCTGGGAAGGGAATTGGAGTCCATGGTCTGGAGCAGTTACACACCCTGAGCTCACTGGGGAGCTCCGTGCACATCTGATGTGTCTGGGTTGGGGAAATGTGATGGGGTGATACATCAGCCCATAACTCCTGGCAGATAGAGAGCTCCCAAGTACTCACTTATCCCTTATCCAAGCAGGATGTGACAGGGCTATAGGATTGGTGGTCCCTGCCATCTCCATGTGAACACACTACAGGCAGTGGGAGCTTCTGGAGTTCATCAAAAGGACTTGGTGACTCTGGAAATGGAGACAGGACAGAGGTTATGTTCTGCTGATGAGTTTATTTAAGGAGCTGACAGAGGCCAAACTGATGCTGAACGTGGGAGACCTCCGTGTCCTGCAGGACGGACCTTTTGATCCCCAATTTTATCTTTGCTCTTTGTGAGCGGCTTCATGATTTCCCGTAACTGCCCATTGTGTGGGTGGGTGTGGAGCTTCAGCAAAGGTCTGGGGGGATTTTTTGGCATTACTGAATTGAGGCTGTGTGAGAGCAAGGAGGGGAGTTGCTTGAATATCAATAAGCTGTGATGTGCCATGAGGTGTTGCAGGAAGCTGTTTCCTGAACTTTAGTGCTGCATCCCAGTGTGTGAGTGAAGCCCCTGGAAGACCTCAAGGAATCCTCCTGCAGCTCAGAGCATGCCTGGGCCAGCTGTACATTATTTTCCTGACTTCCACCCCGGCCTTCACTATTGCTCTGTAATCTTAAACTTGCCTATTGGGGAGTTCCCACCCCTACAAAAAGGCTGCCACAGTTGGGGTTTGACTCCAAGCTCCTGGGGCAGAGTTAAACCTGACCCAAAGCCAGTCCAGTGCTTGGGGTGCTCCTGTGTGATTTGAGCCTTAAGGCTGAAACTTGGATAAGGGCACGATGCTTCCAAGAGCCCTGCATGCACATGGGAGAACAGGCAAAGAACAGTCCAACTTTCTGGAAAGCAGTGTGGGAAATGCAATTTTTGTAAAACACAATTTTCTAATTTCTGTGGCTTTGGCAGGACTTGGAAAGTTCTGGAGGGGTCCCTCTGGATGAGGCTGGAGGGTCTTATCAGAGCTCCTGCCCCGGGACTCGGCGTCGACTCGTGCTGTGCTCCGCGAGGAAGGTCCTCTTCTAACCACGGTCCCTTTGCTGGTGTTGCAGCTCCTGAGGTGACGCAGGAGACGGTGGAATCCCTGATGCAGAAGTTCAAGGAGAGCTTCCGCACCAACACGCCCATCGAGATCGGGCAGCTCCAGCCCGCGCTGCGCAGCACATCCGTGGGGAGACGGAAACGCCGGAGCCGGCCCCGAGGTAGGATGTTGTGGGGACCACCTGCTCCCCCAGTGACCAGGTCCAGAGGAGTTCGGCTAGGGAGGAAGGAGGGAGCTCCCCCACCTTCCCTGCTGAGCGTGGGGGCACCAGAGCTCCTCTGTGTTGGGGTAAAGAGGGGCAAACCCCACGCAGCATCCTCTGGGGGGTCTGGTGGAGATATGTCTGGGAGTCGTGTCACGTGTGTCCCCTCCAATGGATTCTTCCAGGTCTGCTGCAAGGCCAGAGTCCCTGGACTAACTCAGGTGGGGGTGAAATGGTTTCTTGGCAAGTTTTTTTGTTTCACAAAGGGGTGAAGTTCATTTTGGCTCTAACATCACTATGACCTCTCTTCTTTCTGCTTTCACAGTGCTTAGGGGTTTTTGAACTCCACACAGGGTGGGAGCAGCATTCATGGATCTAAAGGCTGTGTGGAGGGATCAGGTCCACATTTCCACCTGTGGAGGAGAAGGGGTTGTCAGGATCCCTCCAGGGATGATAGGCAGGAGGGTTCCTCAGCCATGACCTGCCCAGGGCAGTGAGGGTCTTTGTGGCAGCGCTGGGAGCTGGGAAGGAAATACTTTTCCTTCTGTTTACTATTGGTTTTGTTTTTCATTTATTTATGAGTCTGAAATGCGATCCTTTATTCTGGATGCATTTTCCTGTGATACAGGCCTGGAGAGGGCTTTTTTTTTTATTATAGCTCTGCCCATAAATTATTCAGTTAGTGTGAAGAAAATGTTCTGACTCTTTAACTGGTTTAAATTATTTGGTTTGTTTTCTAGTAGTTATTCAAATACGTGTCTCTGGATTTTACTCTGTGTGTGTGTGGGTGCTTTGGGGTCCACAGGGACTGTCTGGGGAGATTTCCCTGTTTCCCTGCTCCAGCCTCCTTTTTTTTTTTTTGTTTGTGTGTGTGTAGTTCACTTTTGAACTGCCTGAAGGTAAGAGACTTTTTGGTCACTAATGGAACAAGTCAGTTAATCCTTGCAGCCGAGCTTAGGAGGAGGCACAGTGCCCAGCTGCAGGCAGAGCCTCTGGCTGTGTGGGAGCAGAGTGTGGCCCCAATTGTGCCCCCAATCTCTGGGGACACCCCTCACCCCATTTCCCACCTCCCCAGGATTCCTCTGCCTATTAGTGGCCATGGGAATAGTCTGTGGATACCAGGACAAGAGCCACCTTAGTCACATTTGTTCCCAGACTTGTGTTTCCTCAATGTAAGAGTTGGAAATTTGTTTATACCCAATGTCTGTGTGGGATGAGGAGCCCAAGGCATAAAGTACCCCATGGGCTTCAGGAGGGGACCCTGACTTCCAGTGTCCCCACCTATGGGATACCTCACCAGCACGCCCTAGAGAAGAGATTTTAAGGTCTCAAATCATCAGGAATCATTGAGCAGCACCAAAAAGCCAGCCAGTCACAGCATCTGCAGTGGAGTTCTTGCTCCCTATAGCCCCCTCTCATCTATCCTCTTTTCCCTTTAATTTAAATTTCTCTTTGCTTGTGGAAGTGGTAGCCAGGCACTGCTGCTCTGAGCTGATCCATGCCTTTCCCTGCCTTTTCCCTGGCCTCTCCTGAGCCAGAGGTTTTGTTTTTACAGCCTGTGGTTACCTGTCCTTCCGGCAGGCAAGCGGCTGGAGTGCGAGTGAGCGCTCAAGTTAAAGGATGATACCACAACTCAGGATGTTTGTGTTTGCCATCCAACTGCAAACACAAGCCCTTTGCCTCATTAATCCATTGCAATTCAGGAGACTTTTTTTTTTTTCCTCCCCCTAAACGAAATTGTCCGTTTGGGATACATTTATTTCCTCCTAACGACCGCGTGATAGTTCCGCTGATGGAGTTTGCATCCAACTTTGTTCCTGGGTAGTGACAAGCCGGCCTGACGGATGCCTGTGTGTAATTATTTTCTTGTGGTTTGATTTAATTAATGCTTAACCTCATCAGAGCCCTGCAGCTGGAGCGCTCTCCCCGCAGGAACTGTGCACAGCAGAAGGATTTTCCTCCTTTATGGAAAGGCTCTGAAAGGGTTTCCGAGTGCTGCTCCTTCAGAAGGATGGGATAAACCATCCAAACAACCCAGAAAACAAACAACCCAACCCCCCAGCACAAGGAAAACAAATCTGGGATCAACTTTGTTTTGCTTCACTTCCCTGCACTGAGTGTGTTTAAACTGCTGCCCATTGCTCATCATTAAATCTGGTTCTGTGCTGTTTCCAGCAGCTCTAGGAAGGGTTTTTTTTCCAAGTACATTGACTTAAAAACAAAACAAAACCACACCACCCTCTCCATTTACAGTGCTGTATAACTTTATTTTGTTTAATGCCTCTTTCATACAACCTCTCTCCCTAAACAATTCTATTGAGTGAAGTGTGTTTAGAGGTTATAAATAATAGAGGGAGAGTGAGGATGGTGAGAGCCGAGGGGCAGGAGGGGTGGGCTGGAAGGAGAAGATCTCTGTGGGGACTGGAAGTGCTTGGGGGAAGAATGCTGAGTCCAAGAGGGTTTATGGTGCCCAAAATACAGCCAGGTGGTAGCCAGACATCCCAACCTGGCTGCACCAGAACTGGGAAGTGATACCCTGGAACACATGGAGAGAGGCAGCAGGGCAGGGACTGAGGGTGGGGGTTTGGCCAATGGACCACCCTGTGTGTGCGTGTGGATGCAGGCACTGGGAGGGATTTTCGGATGTGGGTCTGGGGAGTGGCCTTGGGGTGGCTGGTGTGTGCAGAGAGGGGGTCTGGTGCCCTCTCCTGGGGCAGGGCTTTAAAAACACCCTGGATTTGGGAAGAAATAACCCATAACGATCCTCCTCCTCAGACGGGATGTGCTGTTTATTGGGATGTGCTGTTTATTGGGATGTGCTGTTTATTGGGATGTGCTGTTTATTGGGATGTGCTGTTTCTTGCGATGTACTGCACAGTGAGGCTGCAGCTTCTTGTGGTTTAGAGGTCTTGGCTGTGCCCTGAGTTACCCAAAGTTCCCTGAGGAAGCAGAGTTGGACTTGTCTGGGCTCATCCATGGTCCCTGCTTTTGCCAGGACACCTCTGCCTCCACCTCTCTCCATCTGTCCTGTGGTGCCTGCAGAGCATCATGTTTTGCTGGAAAGGCTTTTTGATGGTTTAGCCAGGAACTTTTGCCTCCTCTGAGTCAAAGTATCATGCCCAGCTCTGTGAGTTGTCCCTGGTGAAAATAAAACCCTTCAAGGGCTGTTGTTTGGGAGCATTCCACAGTGGAAGATTGTTGCACCATCCACAGTGGTGAGTTTTTTGGGTATAGACAGAGGGAAGAGGGACAATAAATGAGGAGGAAGAGCTTTCCTCAGCTGAAGCATTCTGTGTGAATGTACCCCTGCCACAGGCCACTTAATTTTCAAGGGCTTCCTTCTCTTCTTTATCCTTTTTTTGCATTGACTGGGTAAGTTCCAAACACGAATGTTTGTGGGGTGTTTTTTATTGTTTGTTTGTTTTGTGTTGTTGTTGTTGTTGGGTTTTTTTTGCGTGTGTGTGCGTGTGTGTGTGTGTGTGTGTGGTGTTGTTGTTGTTGTTGTTGTTGTTTTCCCCCTAAATCTGCATCTAATTTACCTTTCTCTGGCCACATTAAGTTTTTTCAATTGGCTGGTGCTCTTTTCAGGGTTAAATGAATTAAACTGAAAATTCCCACTTAGCTAATTGCTAAGCTCTGCACAGCCCTGCTGGCCCTTGGTGCAGGGACCTCACCACAGTACTGGGGTGGTGGGGAGGGCACTCCTCATCCAGCTTTTACTGGGAAGCCTGGAAGCAGAGGAGCTTTTGAACACCCAGGAGACTGTGCTGCATGGGGCAAGTGAGTGTGGAGCAGAGTGAATCCAACACGGCCAAGCAGGGAGGTTGTAGGTCTTGAATTCTGTGGTATGTGCAGGATTTGGCCGTTTTCCTGGAGGGATGGGGTGCAGAAACTCCTTTTTTTCATTGACAGTGGTTGCAGGGCAGGGGTATGCATAAAGATGTCACCCAGGTTGGCACCACTGGGGACAAAAACAAGCTCCCACTTCTATTATAACATGCAGCTTGGAGAGATTAAGTACTTGAGGTCAACTTGGCCTCAGACAGAAGTTATCCAAATAGCTCCTGTTACTTATTTTGTTATTTTATCTCCATTTTGGTTTGTTTTGCATCCACAGTTATTTTCCTAAGATACTCTGTGACCTACTGGCTTTGGGGAAAGGATTAAAAATGTCAGGTTTGCTTTTTATTTCCTCATTAATGCCAAAAGCTCACTTTTAAAAAAACATACACTTGGCTTTTAGCTATCAAAATTCTTTGGGGATAACGGAGCCTCTGATACCTGAATTTTTTTTCCATAGTCCCCACCTGGCACTAATGTTACCATCTTTAATTACACCCTAATGAGGTGTTTGCCTTGGCACCCCGCCTTGCTCCCCACTAAATTAATGTTGCACTCAGAACAAGCACCCTGCCCGGGTGCCTGGCGGAGCTGAGATCTATTTGAACGGATTAACGAGCTTGTAAATCTGCAAACAGGATTAGAAACAAGAGCATCTTCTTTGAGCTCCCCCTCCTCACCCCCCGCTGCCTGGGGACCGAGCCATGCAGGGGACAGGGGTGTGGGTGAGGAAGGGGAGCTTTGTTTTCTCTCCAGTCTAAATAACAGGAATGAGCTGTGTATAAAGGGGGTGCAACTCCCTGGAGGAGTCACTGGAGATCGAGTTGCTGGTCCATTACAGGTACCCAGTGCTGCAAAGTTGCTGTTTCCCTGCTCTGTCTTTTAAGCATCTTATTCCACTTTGTAATCGCTTGCAGTGATTAGGGTATTTTTTTTTTTTCTGATGCTTACTGGGTTTCTCTATGTTTTTAAAGGAAAAGGAATGCTGACCAGGCAGGGCTGCTTGGTGTTAACTGAGTGCTGTCCTTATTCATCCCCACCAGAACCTGCACGTGGGTGCTCTCTGCTGTGAGCATCCTCAGCCCCATCATGTAATTATCTTGGGCCTATGTCTTGGCAGCAAGCTGCAACTGAGGCTGGTTGTTGAGTTGGGGCAGTAGGCATTGCCCCAGTTGTGAATGTCTCACAAGGGTTATTCAGCAAGGTTTTGGGGCGAGTTAAACATGAAATCAAGTTTATGGCAGGATCGGTTGAGGATTACCATTCCTGCATCCTCCAGGTTGCCTCAGCTGGGTTCCAGGACCCCCAAAACCACCACCAGGATGTGTTCCCGCATCTTTGGTAACACAGAGGAACAAAAGCACATCCCTGGCAGCCGTGCCCCTGCCCTGGGCTCGTGTTTCCAGGCTGACCTCTGCCACCGCATGTAGGGTCAGAGGAGACGTTTCCACTCCGGGCTGGGGACCTGCACTGGGTCTCCTGACTCCTGTATTTATACATCCTGCGCAGTGCTGGGTAATCAGAAAATGCAATATCGCTGTCACCGGCTCTCTGAAGACATCCAGCCTGAGTAATTTAACATGTCAGCTCCATCCATCACGGAGACGCAGCCGGCACACAAACGCGGAGCGGCCGGAGGGGGCTGGGCCGGTGGCGGAGGAGCAGCTGCTGCCTGTGCCACTGCCCGGTCCCCTCGGCGGGCTGAGAGAGCAGAGAGAGCACCAGATCGCTGCCTCTGTCCACCCCAGCCATCTGCCTGTGCAAGAGGGGCCAGATCTGGCACATGGGAAGGTGGCAGAGGGATGTGCCATGTCCTTCCCGTGCAGGCAGCATCCAGGTCCCTTTCCCAGGCAGAGGAGGTGGCTGTGCTGAGCTCCTTGGGAAAAAACCCTCCTGTGGCTGGTGTCTGTCTTCCAGCCCTGGACACTGCAAAGGAGACTGGGGCAGCCCCTTCTCAGTGAGAATGGGATGTGCAGTAGAGCTGCAGCCCTGGCTGGTTGCCCAAGGGCCTGTGTTAGAAGCCCAGATTAATTAAGATTTTTCTTGCTGATGCGAATAAGCCTGATTGGTTTTACCACTCTGCTGTGCCTTTCAAACCCCCAGACCCTGGGTGTGGGTGTATTGTGCCACTGGATGCTGTGTTGTTTGTGTCTGAGGAGGGGCTGATGGTGGGTTATGGTTTGGGGTGCGAGTCTATAAATCCACCAGCCCACATTTCCAGCACTAAACTCTGCTGTGTTTAAGCAGTGACCCCTCTTGCTGCTTTCAGGAGGAAAGGAACTGGCAGAGTCTCTTCCTACCCCTCTGTTAAGACATCCCCCCACCCCCTCTGAGGGCACTTCTTGGCCAGGTGAGGGCATGGACAGGGCAGCAGCCACGTGCGGAGCTCCCAGTGTCCCGCTGGCTCCTGCCAGCCACCTCTCATCGCGGTGATTAAGGATTTCAGAGGGCAGAAGGCATCGCTCATTTTCTGTTCTCCTGCCAAGAAACGGGGAAATTGTGCTTCTGCCTAGAATAAAGGATTTTTTAAAAACAGTAAAATATTTTAATGGCAGTTTAAAGGGCCACTGTCAACCCCCAGAGGCCTCTTTGTTTTAAACTCTGCAAGGATTGAAGGACTTCTGCCAGTTAAAGTCTGCATCACTTCTAAAATATCCATCGCTCCTTGGTGTGTCCGGGGCTGAAACCAGCTGGGCTCCTCTTACATCCTGCTCTATATCCAGCCCAGAGAGGAGGATGCCAGGTAAACCATGGACCAGCCCTGCTGCTGTCAGTCCTGACCACTGCAGGAACACGTGCTGCTGGTTCTCATGGTGAGCTGGGCGAGCAGATGGGCCAAAGCAGGTGATGAGTGAGAGAAGTGGGGCCTTTGCCATGCAGTGGGGTCCTGGGTACCCCCCCAAATGCTGTGTTCCCCATGTACTACTTGTCCCTGCTGGGTTTGCTTTGAAGCAAACACCTAAAATTCGCTGTACTTCACTGTGTAGGTGTCCTTGAAGAGAACAGCTGCTACTGTCAGGGGTTTCCTTTGTAAATACCTTGAAATACATTTGTATTCTCCATTCCTGAGGGTGGAAAACATCTTCTTACATTCACATCACAACTGGCATAATGGAGTCTTGATTTTTGATGAGGGCAATAAGGAGCCAGTGAAATCATGAGCAGCAAAAGTCCCATGTCACTTCTGGTGACCCCAAGTAGAGTATCTTAGTGCGGAGCAGTGGATTCTGGCCAAATCTGGCATCTCTGCCAAGGAGCTCCCAGCTCTTCCTGCTGCTGAGCATCCCAGCTGACAGGGCTGATTTTTTCCTCTCTGTTGCTTGCAGGTGGAATCGGGTTTGGACGTGCCAAAGGAAACTCTGGCTCAGAGGCAGATGATGAAACCCAGCTCACCTTCTACACGGAGCAGTATCGGAGCCGGAGACGGAGCAAAGGTACAGAATGACACAGTGATTGCACTTGGGGGGAAAAAATGGTTGAGCACCTTGATTGTTCCCGTGAGTGATGGTGTCTGACATTGCCTGAGTCTAAAGGAAGGCCATACCAGTCCATGGTGGTAAAGACATCCCAAGATGTGCTGTCTGTGCAATGCAGCACCGTGTAGGAGCCATAAATCACGTTTCCCAGTGATGTTGCTGAGGTTCTGGGTTTCTTTGATGGTTTCTAATATCAGTTTCCTTCCACATGCCCTGGCACTTCCCCAATGCTGCACCAGCAGGGAGCAATTGTGTCCGTCATCATCCTGGCACCATTGCAGCTGTCAGGGATGGTCACCTTGGCAATTCCTTGCTCCGAACTCCCATTTTCTGCCCTTTATTTCCCATGCAAAGCATCCGTTGGATGAAAGTTTCCTGGCCTTCCTCTTGGCACAAAGGCAATTAAAAGGAAGAAATTCAAAATGAGAGTTGGGGCAGGGATTTGTAGACCAAAGTCCCTTCAGGCTCTTTTGCGAGTTAGAGAAGCTGTGAAACTGAAATATCATCTGCAGTTTGAAATTAGTGTCCGCTTTTCCTCCGGTCACATCATGCTGGATCGTTTTTGTTCGGGACTCTTGGCCCAAGCTGTTTGGCAAGAGGGGAAGATGAGCCTTGCTGCTGCTGCTGCTGCTGCTGCTGCTGTGTTTGAAAAATCACAGTCGGGAAATAACTCCGTTGGGAAGCAATTTAAAAATTGCACAGTGGGGCTGCTCCCTCCATTTGTTTTGTGCGTGGAGCCGGGCCCTGGCACAGCGCAGCAGCCAGATAGATGCCGGTACCCACCGCAGCACACACGGCCCCATTTGTTTCCATGATGAGCCATTCCCATAAATGCTCTCCCAATGTGTTTATTTGAATGTGAAATTGCCTCAGCACCTCCGATCAGCTCGGTGGTTGCACATGGGAGCGAGCACACGCATGCACAGGGGTGCACTGCGTTTGTTCCTACTGAAAGGCTGGGACTTCAATTTTATAGTGTTGTTTTTTTTTTTTTTTTTTTTCCCCTTTTCCATGTGTTTTAGGACCATGAAAAATTATCACTGAGTTTAAAATGAGCTTTTGATGAAAAGCAGGGAGAGGAGTCATGAGTTAAAGTTACCTGTTGCAGTACGAACACAGCTGCATTCAGGGGAAAATCATACACTCAGAATCGCAGACCGGTTTGGGTTGGAAGGAACCTTAAAGACCTTCTTGTTCCAACTCCCTTGCCATATGCAGGGACACTTCCACTAGACCAGGTTATTTAGAGCCCCAGCCAACCTGGCCTAGAATGCTCCCAGGGATGGGGCACCACATCTTCTCTGGGCAGCCTGTGGCAGTGTCTCACCACCCTCACAGGGAAGAGTTTCTGCCCAATATCCAATCTAACCCTGTCAATGTGAAGCTGTCCTCCCCTTGTCCTGTCATTATATACCTTTGTCCAAAGTACCCCTCCAGCTCTCTTGCAGGCTTCCTTCAGGAACCAGAAAGCTACAATAAGGTCTCCAAAACTCTTCTCTTTTCCAGGCTGGACAGCCCCAACTCTCTCAGCCTTCCCTCACAGGAGAGGCACTCCATCTTTTTGGCTGTGTGAGAGAAGGAAGGAATGGTTCTATTGGAGAGACAAAAGAAACTGTCCCAAAACAGAGACAGGGGGTAAACTTCCTGAGTGTTGGAGTAGTTTTTTCAAGGAGTTGTTCTGCAATACTGGGCTGGATGTGAAAGCCCTGGGGTACTTCAGAAAAGTCACCCAAGTTTGGGGTTTTTTCAGGTTCCACTAGGGAAAGGGGTGATGGTGTGCAAGGAAGGTGTGGAAAACTATGCTTTAATGAAAAGCAGAGAAGTCTTTGCAAGGCTGCCTTGACGCCATGCCCCCGAGATCAAATGCTCTGCCAAACTCTTCAAACGCGCTCGTACTGAATGCCAGGTACAAAGATATCCTTATTGACGTATGTGTTGGTTTTGGGCTGTTTGTTTAAGCTTCCTGGTAGGGCAAATATAAATGAATAGAATAGATGAATGGCAAGAGTTCCTTTCTCTTCCTGTGAATAAGCTGCTGTTCACCTGGGCAGCTTTGATGGCTGGGTTTGAAGGGAATTCAGGAGGCAGAGCTGCCTCGCGCCATCGCGCAGAGCTGGATGTTAGATCTGCTTTAGCGTTTGAGCGATGCTGCGAGAACCTGGTTTGTTCGTGCTCACTGGTGGCTAACAGAGGGAATTGTCTTGCATAAAGTCCCCATTGTACTCCCCCTCCTGTCTAGCTAAATTTTGCCATCACTGCGTCCTTGAAAGGAATTTTCTATTATCTTTTCATTGACTCCTCTGTCCCTCATGGAAGGAAAGCAATAGCTCAGTGGGAAGTCCTAGTACCAAACTCATAATTACAAGTTCAGCCAAGATCCATAATTGGACGGGATCGTAACTCTAATAGAGAAGGATGCGTCGTCAGATACAGTTAATTCTTACAATGATGTTCCCATATTGATTTTGCTGTGCTTGCGTGTCGTTGCAGGTGCTGTCAGATAGTTATCAGGTCCAAGGAGAGAGATTCCTTGGGGTTTCTCTCCTAGGATGAAGTTTTGCAGGATTGAGCCTAATTACTGGTACTGTCAAGGCATTGATCCCAGACCACGGGAGGGGAGTTGTCACTTAGGTGGTGCACAGGTTTGGTTGTATTTGAGCTTGGTTGAAAGCTGGCTGGTTAAGTGGTCCTGTGTGTCCTGGAGGAGGAGGACAGCAGGTTTTGCAGGGCCTTGGTAAGGTATATTGAAGGGACAGTCCTACAGGTCAGTACTGAGCAAGGGAGAGCTTGTTCTGGTAGCTCAGGAGCAGCAGATCCGTTGATACCTGGTTATCAGTGTGGGAATACATGGAGAAGTAAGTCTGATCAGTCCGAGTATGGAGTCAGGGGTGGCTGAGGCATCACCTTCTGTGCTCCCAGCACACTGCACCAGTCATCCTCCCAGCTTCTAGGTCTGTATGTTCCCTTGTCTTTGGGAATTATAGGGGAGGAGAGTTTAAGAAATAACACAGAGGACTCCTTCCCGCGGAGCCTTGGTCTTTGTCTGCTGTTGGGCTCAGCCCCACCTCTGGGATTTGAGCTGGGAGAGGCAATGCTGATCAGCAGTGTCTCTGGGGAGCTGGGTCATGCCAAGAAGTGCTCTGGTCATACCCATCTTCAGCGAGACATCTCCTGTCTTTGCTGTGGCCCCCTGCCTGTGCCCATGCCAGCTCTCCACCCTTGCTTTATTTTGAGGGATCAGTGTGAGCACTGCTCTAATGGCAGTGCTCACAGCAGGGCTGACATGTAGTCTTAAGGGAGCTGGAATCTGGGCTGTTTTTCCAAGTGAAACAAGTTCTGAGAGAAGCTCTGTGCTGGGAGGCTAGAGGGATCCTCAGCTGGGGCCAAGGATGCTCCTTCCTGCTGACCCTCAGTACTGACTCCTCAGGTTTTTTTCAGAAATCAGATTTTATTGCAACCTGATTGCAACAGGTTTGTGCAGTCCAAGGCTCTGCTTGTCACGGGGGCTGGCTGTCCCCTTTCCCACCTCCCTGGGAGAATCTGGACACATGGGAACCTCTTTGCATGCTGACTGTGGTGCACAGATGGCTCTTGTCTCCTGGGCTGTCTGTCATTGCACCTTTCACCAACACTGAAGTCTTGTGTAGAGACAGAAGTCTTTACAACCTGACAGGGTTGTAAAGATGTGAATCCACACCCCCCACTGTCCAACACAGCCAATATCAAAGCTTTGATACTTAATTCCTCTCTCTGGAGCAGGGTGGAATGTGTTCAGTCAGGTCACCCTCTGAGTTTGAGAGAAAAATATAGTAGCAAAAATCACCCTAAACCGAGGAGGAAGAGCCCTGTACACAAACTCCACTTGTGTGTCACTCCTGCTCCATCCCCCTTGCCTCAGGGTGGTGTTTACCTCCTGCCCAGCAAAATTTATTCAGCTCCAGGTCTGAGTGTGCAGTCCCAAGCTCCCCTGGTGGCAGGCAGCCCAATGGCTGATAGAGAAAGATGAGGGGGAAGAAGCAGCACTGTAACTCCTAAGCCGTACCAGGGTCCGTGTCTGGCTCATTAAGTGAATTTAATGAGCCCCTCCTTGCTGGAGGGGAGGCAAAACCGAGTTTTCCCCACCTCCCTTTGCTTTCTCAGGCCACAGAGCAGCTGCTCTGTAACACAAAAATGGGCAACAGATGCTGTGCAGCTCCCTGGGCTGGGGGGAACTGAGGCAGGGAAAGTGATGGCATCGTATGGAGACCCTGCGTGGAATGTCCTCATCTGGCTGCTGCTCCTCAAGCAAGCTCTGGCATCTGTTTCAGCCTGAGCTGGACCACCCTGAGCCCACTCCCCCACACTGGGGTCTGGGATTGCTTCACCCCTCTCAGCATCACCTGTTAAAAGAAGAAGGGGGGAAATACCCACCCTATTTTCATGCATAGCTGTTGTTCAGGTGGTACCTTCCCATCCCAGGAGAGCCTCCCACCACCCCAGGGAAGGGAGGACATAGTTTTGGGATGCTCCTCAGCTGAGGTCTCTGTGAACAAGGCACCTGGCTGTTCCCGTAACACGCAGGGATGGTTTTGACAAATTAACAGAGTTCAATTATGTACCTTGGATTGGTGTCAACCGCTCGGGTGTGCACGTGTGTGTGTGCTGGGCTGGCTGGCGGAGCCTTCTGAGGGCTGTTAGAGAAATGAGAAGCTGAGCTTTGATCTGCCTCTGTATTTGGTGTTTAAAACAAGGCCTTTTATAAGGGAATATTAGGTATTCGGAGTCTGCTACATATGAGGAAGCTTCGCTTTGATCCTCTCCCGTCTCCAGAGGCAGCAGGCACTTATTATTTCATGGGGAACTAAATGCAGTGCAGAATGAAATTTGGGTACCATTCTCTGTGCTCTGCCAGTGCCCCTGGCCTCGCTGGGGCTGAGCGAACGCCGTGGGCAGCACGTGCACCCGTTCTGCTGTGCTCC